TATATTACATGTGTTTACAACTTTATTATAATAACATTTATTAGGTTTAAGGAGGGAAAATTCAAAAGGTGGGGTTGAGATGGGAAGTTAGTGTCCGATTGGTTCGAGGTCACGATAGCTCAAGCGGTAGAGCAGAGGGCGTATCTAGCCGAAGGTCGTTGGTTCGAATCCCGCTCGTGTCTGCCTTTTTTATCTCAACTAAAAACCTGAATTAATTGAAAGTTATTAATTGGTCAATCGGACCACGAAAACTAGTGAATTTAATAAGTTAAATGAAGTATATCTTCAATAAAACTTTCCGTGGCCATTTGATTTGTCGCCGAGAATCCAATCCGACACACGACATTTGAAAAATGGCAAAAAGAAGGGAAAATTCGAAAGGTGGGTTGAGATGGAAAGAAGTTAGTGTCCGAGTGGATCGAAGTCACGAGATGGTTAGGGATTTTTTTTTTGTTGCAGTTTTGCATATTAGCCCAATCAATGCCAGACAATATGTTATGCGTTTTTTTTCGTTTTAGGGAAAGGGTATCGTGAAAAAAGGGCTGGGCGACTGCGGGAATTGAAACCATCTACGAGCCGAGAGTCTCTCACGCTAACCACTCGTCTACCGACTTTTTTGACCAGATTGTCATATGGGGAAAAATAGTAACTCAAGAAGGCCATACCATCTTTTCACCAAATGACCATATCTCGTTTGCGTGAATATAAAATATATACTAACAATATGTGATGCTTTGTTTTTGGCAGGCATTATGCACTAAGCACTCCTATCACGTGACAGACCATCACTGCAAAATTCTGCTCAAGTTCACTAGTTTTCGTGATCCGCTTGGCCAGTTAATATCTTTCAATTAATTAAGGTTTTTAGTTGAGATAAAAAAGTTAATGGCACAAGCGGGATTCGAACCCACGATCTTCGGCTAGATACGCCGCTGCTCTACCACTTGAACTGTCGTGACCTCGATCCACTCGGAAACTAACTTCCCAATTCAACCCCACCTTTTCAATTTTCCCTCCCGTTTTGCCATCTTTCAATTCTACTCAAGCCAACTCGCTCTGGCCCTGAAACAACCTGCAACCTAATTTTTCACCCGGATAACATGTAATACATAATGTGCATGCCCGAAGTGTTAATGAAACTTCGCTTGGACGTCATACCACCCCCTCAGTATTCTACAAACGAAGCTGCATCTGTCTTTTTTTTTCTTCTTTTTTTTTTACTTAGCAATGGAAAATGAAATGCAATAATGACCAACGGCTGTAAAATGAGCTGAATTTTTATATTTTTTAATCACAGAACAGAAACTTTTTTAAGAAAGGCATAAATTGGGTAGGTAACTTTTTGGGAAAACGTTGTAGATCCAATTGTGATTCTTTCTTTGAATGAAAAATACCTAAACTAATTTCAATTGTAATAATTATTAAATTCTTAAAACAAAAAGTACCTTTATGGTGTAAATTTTGGATAATAAGAAAAGAAAAAAGATTTTTTGTCGGGATTTTTGTTACTAATATTGACTGGCTTTTTTTTGTTTGATCAATGAACATCAAGGGATACAGCTTTTCAAAAAATTCCCCAGTTTCATTCAAACAAATTATATATAACACATGCCGTTTGTCCTTCGGTAAAAAATTGTTGTATCTAAATTTATCAAATTACTAATTCCTACCCCATTTCTCCTGAAAGAATCAAAACAAAGACCTGTTTTATTTCAATCCTGCAAATCCTATTTAAGTATCTCAAGAGACCTGAAATTTGCATAAAAAGAGAACTAGAACGACTGCAAAAGGGGAGTGTCTTTAATGTTCGCCAGCAGCGGTGCCTTGGGCTTTTTAAATAAACGAGCCAGAAGGCCTTTCTCTAATAATCGTTGTCTTTTGACGGCCGGCGCTTTACATAAATTAGGTAATCTATTTGAGGATTAGTTTCTGTTCTGTGTTAAAAATAGGTGCGAAAGTGGGCAGTTTGCAGAACACCCAGTGAAAAAAAAAATGGTTCTTTACACTTTCAGCATTGCAAGTTAAAGTTACCCTTGTGATTTTTTAATCGTACACAAGCAGAAGAACAAACCGACTGGGGGAAAGAATTACAAGTAATTTAATGCATTTTCACCTCCCTGCAAGTATTTTACGCTTGTAATCATTCATTATAATTTTTAACCCTCTTGTTGACAAAAATATCATTCGTATTTCAACCAGCTATTGCCCATAGTCATCACTAGATGGCCTAATGACGATGATCAACAGGTTACCTGAAGAGCTTGAAGAACAGTTCTTTGGAAACATTAGAGAGAGATACATATACCTTTTATAATCTATACAATGAACTATCTACTCTGATTTATGCCAATAAACTACTTTTTAATATCATAATTTAATTAATTAAGGTTTTTCGTTGAGATAAAAAGTCAGCGTCACGAGCGGGATTCGAACCCACGATCTTCGGCTATCGTGTCTTTGATCCCCTCGGGCACTAAATTCCGATCTCAACCCAACCTTTTGAATTTTCCCTCTTTTTTGCCATTTTTCAAAAACGGACTTTTTTATCTCAAATAAAAACCTTAATTAATTGAAAGATATTAATTGGTCAAGCGGATCACAAAAACAAGTGAATTTAATAAGTAAAAATGAAGTATACCTTCACTAAAGTTCTCCGTGGCCATTTCATTTGTCGCCGAGAATCAAATAGATTACATTTGAAAAACGGCAAAAAAGGAGGGAAAATTCAAAAAGTGCGGTTGAGATGGGAAGTTAGTGACCGAGTGGATCGAGGTCACGATAGTCCAAGTGGTTGAGTAGTGGCGTATCCTGCCGAAGGTCGTGTGTTCGAATCCCACTCGTGACACTGACTTTTTTATCTCAACTAAAAACGTTAATTAAATTAATGATATTAATTGGTCAAGCGGACCACGAAAACTACTGAAAAAATCATAATTTAAATTGAACGATGTTTTAATTATTTTATATTATAATACATATACAATTTGTCCCGCCGTCATCTCCAATCAGATTTACTTGAAAATTAGTTTGTCATGAACTAGTGCGTCTCTTTGAACAATCCTTTGATTTCCAACCGTTTTCCCATGGTCGGAAGATTTTTTAAAATATGCTCGCTCGTTTTAATTGCCCGCAAGTCTAATGGTCATTTTTAATNGTTAGTGTCCGAGTGGATCGAGGTCACGATAGCTCAAGTGGTAGAGTAGCGGCGTGTATCAAGCCGAAGATCGTGGGTTCGAATCTTGCTCGTGACACTGACATTTTTATCTCAATTTAAAACCTTAATTTATTGAATGATATTAATTGGTCAAACGGACCACGAAATCTACTGAAAAAATCATAATTTAAATGGAATGATGTTTTAATTATTTTAAATTATAATTCAAACCCATGACCTTCGGGGACCGCGGTAGCCGAGTGGTTAGCGTGAGAGTCTCTGGGCTCATAGACGCCGCGGTCGTGGGTTCGACTCCCACCGTCGCCTCTGGCCCTTTTTTCACAATAACCCCCCCAAATATGAACATACATACATACAAGAATTCGTTACCATGGCTAATATACATAGATCATAAGGCAAAAAAAATTATAATACATATATGATTTGTCCTGCCGTCAGACTTATATAATTTCCAATCAGGTTTACTTGAAAATAAGTTTGTTAGGAACTAGTACGTCTGTTTGAACAATTCTTTGAGTTCCAGTCGTTTTCACATGGTCGGAAGATTTTTTAAAAATATGCTCGCTCGTTTTAATTGCCCGCAAGTCTAATGGTCATTTATAATTTTCCAAATTGTGGGAACGCTGCCAATAAAATCCAAAATAATGAGTGCCTTAGTTTTAATTAAAGTTTATTTATGACATGCATGGTGTTTATTGATAATCACTATAGTCGATGGGAAAGGTGTAAAAGAGTCTTAGGAATTAAAGGTCTTGAAAATTGAGCCGGGACGTAAATAATAAAAAAACATAACATAAAAATTAGGTATATGTGATATAGCGTGTCTCTTCTTCTTTTTTTGTTGGGCCCAACCCTGATTTCGGAAAACCGAAATCAAGGTCCCAGAGGTTTTTTACGATCGGACCTGACTACAATTATTTCATTTATCGATCAGGCACCTTTTATATTTCATTTAAACCAAAGTAAATACGACACCAAATGTTTGTTAAATTTGAATCTTTAATTACAATTTATTTTCACATAAAATGACAATCTATTTTATTAATTACTATTTTTAATTTAAAGAATACTTTTATCCTATAACAAACATATCTCAAATCTACAAACCTTAATTTTAAAATGAAATTTGATTCTCGTTTTATAGTTCCATAAAGAAAGGTAAAGAAATTATTATTATTAAAATTTTGACCACCAAATTAGAAAATACAATTAAAATATTAACACAACTTTTAAAATGAAATATTATTTCTTTTATTTTTCTGTATAAAAACATATACCCTTTTAAAACTAAATGACAATTATTATTTTTTTATTTTGACGTCAAAGTAATAAAAATTAACTTACTTGAATAGTGTGCACACCAAATTTTTCTTTTACCAAAAATAGCTGTTTACCCACACAAGCCAGAAAGGGATCTTCTAGGACTTGAAAAAAATAGCCCTTTCTTAGCCCCTACTCCTTTCATTGTTTGAGTGTGTGGAGGGGCATGGCGGTTCATTTAAATCTGAACGTGACATATATATTTACATAAATTTTTGACAATATTCAAAACAATTCGTACAGTTACATTTAGGTATATGTGAATTTAGGTATATAACCCGCTTTTGTTAGTGTATGTGACTGTATTTTAGAGTGAAGGTGAATTCGGATTTTTGATTGAGAAAAAAAAATATATATATATGTGCGTGTGCGTGCGTGTGTGTGTTTGCGCGCGTGTGTGAGCGTGTGAGAAAGATAAATGGGGAGGGTGTGTGTATGATTGACAGAGATAAAGTAAAAGAGGTAATATTTTTGTGAGAAAAATAATCTTCTTTTTAATTTACAGATAATGGACGACAGGTGGGAAAGTGAGGTTATAGAGTTCGGAGCTATAAACATAACCGGATTTCGGATAGTCGACTCGTCGAGAAGGTACGTCAAAGTTTTCAGCGAAGGCTGGAGACGCCTGGATCCAGCTTCCTCTCCAGGAGCCGGCAGAGATACGATTTCGGTAAAAAAAAAATTGTCCAACTATCTTTGAATGCTAATGAAAAAACACATAGTTTGTACTTAACTACCGTTAGTTTATGCGACATCTAAGAGACATTTTTTAAACTCTGTGACATATTTTTAAATAATTTTTCCTAAATTATTGCCAAAGTCAGAAAAATGTTAGTAGAAATTCAATTAATTAAAGTTTTGATTCAGATAAAAAATTCAGCGTCACAAGCGGGTTTCGAACCCACGACCTTCGGCTTGATACGCCGCTACTCTACCACTTGAGGCTTATAGTGGTAGAGTAGCGGCGTATCAAGCCGAAGGTCNAATTACTTTTTTTTTGACTAGGGCTTCCGACATCTAGGTCATTTCAGCCCGCAACTAAGTCTATATTCTATTTACCCTTTCAAACACGAGATTCATACGAATAAATACATTCGTACACATAAATACATCCATACAGTATATTCATTCCGTTTGGTCGGTGGAGGACTTATAGGTCATACGCTCTCAAAGTTCGAGGGACGATGATGACGTTATATTTCACTCTCACCTCTCGGCATTCACGCTAATAAATACATGCAATCAGACAAAACATATACATAGGCAACACATTAGACATACTATATACAATCAAAAAAGCCAAATTCCCCTAAAAAGCGGAACAGGGGACCCTGAAACTCGCTGCAGTGCTCGAGAACTTTTCTTAAGTCCGGCGGCATGCCTACACGCTCTCTGCAGGCGCAAAGGCATTACACGCCTCTATTTTGGGACACATCGAGCAACCTTTCTCTGTATAAGGGGCACCTGCGAGGGCTTTCGCCAAGAGGGCTATTCTTAAACCACGAAGAAAAATAATTGCTATATGTGTCCTGAAAGGTAAAGATCCCGGGTTCGAATCTAGCAGCACAACATTTGAACCCGACATACAATTATCGAGAAGCAACGTATTATACTACTCCTATTCCATCTATTAAAAAAAATCAATCAAATTGTAAATTTTTCAACTGATTTGAATTCGCTATTTGCCAGCTTAAAACCACTAAATTTAATTTTTTTTAGACTTGATCTCAACATCTGTAGAACTTAAGCAGTTTTGTCCTGGTGTCTGTTTAGATGGCGCCAGGTCAATCGCGTCTGGCGCAAGGGTCTGCTCTTCAAACTCCAACCAAATCCTTTGCCGAACATAGTATTTCATCCAAAAATCATCCCAATCTGAACTTTTCTTCCACGTTACTTATCGAACCTGAATCTCTCTGATATATTAATTCCACAATTGTGTCTCCCAAGGGAGCGTCCTAGGTCCGTTACTTTTCAACATATACACGGCAGACTGCCCTCGACACTTTTACCTACACTCCTATTTTGCCAGCGATAAAGCAATTTACTCTGCAAATCCTTATTTCATCTTTGCAGTTTTAGCCCTCCAAGAGGGCTATTTTATTTTTTTATTTACTGGGGCTTCCGACATCTAGGTCTTTTCAGCCCCAAACTAAGTCAATATTCTATTTACACTTTCAAACACTACATTGATACAAATAAATACATTCATACAATACACTCATTCCGTTTGGTCGGTGGTGTACTTGATATTCCTCTACCGAACTATACTCAAACTAATCTAGATTGGGGTCGATGGAGTACTTTTATAAATATTCCNAAAGTTTTACTCACGCAACCTCATGAATTGAACGAGCACACAATTTTAAATATATATAATTGACTCAGAGATTATCTAGAAAGAAGTGAATAAAAATTCTAAAGTAGCTTTTTATCCAAAAAGTAAGAGCGAGATTAAAATGATCAATTTTTTATTTAATGTTATCATAAATTTGCTCAGTTTGTTTTTCATTTTTTCATCATCAATTATTTTTTTTATAAGTATGCTTATGCGTATGTTTTTGTAATATGTGAATAACCCAAAATTAACGAAAAAGTCTTGAACTCAGTAAAAGTCCGTTCGTTTGAACATATTTTAACTTCGTGTTTAATCTTTTGTAACTTGAAAGAAAAAAGATCATTGGACGCAATGAGTTAAGAATGGTCTTCCCTGCGACACCGCCTTTAGTAAACTCCACCAGACTGTTCTTCTTCGAACTTTTTCCATTGCACAAAGTTTAACATTATAACCGGGGATGAGAAAAAGGTTGGGAGGCAGGGGTAAAGTTCTTAACTCGGGGTGTCGGTAAATACACCCCTTCAGACTAAACATATATTTAGATTTAGTGCTGTATCCACTAAATCATTAACTTTTCCCTCGTGGAACGTGAGAGGCGGGAGCCTTTTTAGCTTTTTATTTTTACATCCTTCCGGAAATCCGTGTAATTTTTTATAATCTAAGTTTTTAAACGGATTAACTAAAGAAAAGAGAAAAAACAGGCTTTTTCTTTTACTGCTAACTGCTGCTATTTTTTTTTTCTTTTTAACAGGCCCAAGCAGCACTTATGTACGACGCTGTTTTCGTCCTGGTCGAAGCCTTCAACAAACTTTTGAGGAAAAAACCAGATCTCTTTAGGACCAACATCAGGAGAGGACAGATTTTTAACAACGGCAGCAGGGGGATAGATTGCAACACGAGCCGTGGGTGGGTCACCCCCTGGGAGCACGGGGATAAGATATCCCGCTTTTTAAGAAAGGTAAGAATCATAAAATAATGTTAGCACCGTGCGCTAAAACTCGTTTCTCTCTGCCACTTAGTTTTGTACTTTATTATACTTAACTTCCCCTAACTCTTATAGTCATTATTTACCCATAGTATTTTCACTTTTCATCTTAAAATAAATATTAGGTATTAATTGCTTCTGAAATTGTAATATTTTAAATTTTGCTGTACCCGTAACATATAGAAAACAAGTATAATGGAACTAGCCTCGTAATTAGGGCGTGAGAGGTTCCGGGTTCAAATCCCAGAACAGACAATAAAATTTATAATAAAAACTAATTTAAAAAATGTATATTCAATGAATTTCGTTTTGCCTTTGTTTTTTTTAACAAGCTTAAAATATCGTGTACAATTATTAGAAAAAACCCTTCTAATCATGTCAGCCTCTTAATAGCGTTTTTTTTCTTTTTTGCTGGGGCTTCCGACATCTAGGTCATTTCAGCCTCCAACTAAGTCTATATTCTATTTACCCTTTCAAACACTAGATTCATACAAATAAATACATTCGGGCACATAAATACATCCATTCAGTACACTTATTCCGTTTGGTCGGTGGTGTACTTGATATTCCTCTACCGAACTATACTCAAACTAATCTAGATTGGGGTCGATGGAGTACTTTTATAAATATTCCGCCATCGACCCCTAACACACACTGATACGCTCTCAACGTTCGAGGGGCGATGATGACGTTATATTTCACCCTCACCCCTCGGCATTCACGCTAATAAATACATGCAGTCAGACCAAACATATACACACGCAACACATAAGACATATTATATACAATAAAAAAATTTCCCCTAAAAAGCAAAATAGGGGACTCTGAAACTCGCTACCGTTTTCGAGAACTCTTCTTAAGTCCGGCGGCATGCCTACACGCTCTCTGTATGGAGCCAAGGCATGACACGCCTCTATTATGTGGGACACATCGAGCAACCTCCCTGCATAAGGGGCACCTGCGCGGCTTACTAGCGTATTCTCGTGTAATCCACTAAATTTATTTATTTATTGATTTTATTTTTTCAAATTGTTCTCACACATATTAAATATTTCATATTTTCTACCTACAGCACCAACTCAAGTGCTGAAAATAATTTTTTGGACTGTCACTATTATAAGTGTACCAAATCTAATCTGTTTATTCCCTGTTTTGATGTTTCTTTCAAAGTTAGTCCGTAAGTTCACTTCAGTTTTTGTCCTTTAAATAATATGTATGTGTAAAATAAGCAACTCGAATTTTTTTCCTATGTTCTATGTTCCAATCCCGTCGGAGACAGTGGTTTTTTATTTAATAACAATATAATAAATTAATTCTAATGTGTTTTGAAAGACGACTTCACGCTCTCCTGTACAACAAGAATTACTTTACTGGCTTTTACTTTTGATATCTAATGTTTCTATTTCAGTTGGGTGTTGTTGTTGCAATGAAAGATTTAAGAATAGAATACAACTGCAGTGGGACTTGTCAAGGCTTGTAAGATAGTGTGATGGAAAATAGAAGAAAAAAAAAGAAAGAAAATCAATTAATATATTATAATAAACCAATGATTTTTAATTATCCTACGTTTTATATGAGGTTTATATGATATTATGAGGTTTTTCTTGAAGCAAGAGAGCTTTATTTTAAAACAGAAATAAATTACTGATCGTGAAATTTTACTTTAAAACAGAAATAAATTATGGATCATGACATCAATGACACCGGTCAAATTAGGGGAAATTGGTGCCTAAGCTTTGACAACTTAGCAAAGCCGATATTGTCGATCCATCAAAAGGGTTCGCCGCGACAGCCTGCTAGCAAGCCCCAATTGAATTATGGCCCTTGTTCCAAAAGGCATTGCTATAAATCAGCCAGGCTGCGTATTCTTACCCGGTTGGCAATCAATTATCAGTGCGATTATATACTAAGTGCGCTCCCTTGGCCGGAAATTAATTAAATTTCCTACTGGAGTCTGTAGTGAAGCGGCCGTTCCAAAATGGTCTTTTAATCAAGTCTGGAAGCAGCGTCTACACTGCAATTTGTCCGAAATGAAGCCTTAAATGCCTCGCCGCCAGGTCCGCAGCCGTTGCTTCCTAGTTGGAGGCTATCCAAGGGCTTTGTAAACCGGATACTTCTAGTGATTTAGTTTTGAATTCGAGAAGGCTGCTTTTTCCCTTTAAAAAAATTACTTAGCTCGGAATTCAACAAATAAACAATGTTTCACGCCTCTTGCACGCATTTGTTGTTTATTTAGTATTGACTTCCACTGGATGAAAGACATCCGATTCAAGTTCGTCTTTTTTTAATATGAAGGTAAAATATACAGGGTGAATTGCTACTCGTGCTACAAACTTCTCCAGTAGATTCTTCACCCTAAAATGAACAAAAAAGTTCATATTGTCCATGGTCNGAATCGGACCATGGACAATATGAACTTTTTTGTTCATTTTAGGGTGAAGAATCTACTGGAGAAGTTTGTAGCACGAGTAGCAATTCACCCTGTATATATCTTTATTTCCTGTTTGTGCTCAAAATGAGATCGATTCATAAAATTTTCAGATATTTAATCGCCAATTGTAGAGCAATATTGTTTGAATTTCAGCATTCATTCAATTTATGGAAGTTTTTTATTTACTGTATAAAAGACAAGTGTTTAAAGTTTTGTTAAATAGAGAGACTCATATGAAACACATTTAAAATGCTTGTCAACAGAGGATGGGAGCCTCTGGCGTAGTACTAAACGTATCTTGCGTCATAGCGTTGTCTCAACTCCTCTCAGGAATGGTGATGATACTTGGATCGTTTCCGATGAAGAAAAGTCCAAAACATTTGTGAAACATCTCTCCGAGGTATGCAAACCTCATAACATAATTTCACTTGTGATACCTATGCCCCTAGATCTGCCACCTAAACCAATATTTCCAAAACAAGTATCACAAGAAATACGACAGCTTCCTACAAAGAAATCACCTGGTCATGATTTGATGATTTGATAACAGCTAAAGTTCTTCAAGAACTTCCAAAAAAAGCAGTCTTTTTGACTTATATATTTAACGCAATTTTGAGGACTACACACTTCCCCATACAATGGAAACTTTCTTACATTAAAATGATCCCAAAACCCCATCTTATAGTCCTATTAGTTTGTTACCCGTTCCTTCTTAATTATTCGAAAAATTAATTTACAAAAGAATTATCTCTATTGCTACTAAGAACATCTTACCAGACCATCAATTTGGCTTTCGAACCGATCATTCCACCACTCATCAACTTCACAGAGTGACTGATTTCATTACTTCGTGTCTCGAGCAGAAACTGTACGCGACTGGAGTGTTTCTAGACGTTTCTCAGGCCTTCGACAAAATATGGCAAGAGGAATTATTATACTAATTAAAATTATTTTTACCCCAGGCCTATTATCTGATTATACAATCATACCTTAAAGAGAGATTTTTTGCAGTAAACCAGGATACGGAAAATTCTGGGAAGGAAGAAGTGCTTGCAGGTGTGCCACAAGGGTCAATACTCGCTCCGCTGTTGTACACAATTTTTACTTCTGATATGCCCACAAATGAGAATACACTCACCGCCACATACGCAGATGACACCGCCATATTAACAAGCTATCTCTCTTCTACACAAGCTTCAGTCATGTTACAAAACCACATATCAACAATTGAAAAATGGAGCAATCTTTGTAAAATAAAGTTTAATCTCTCAAAGTCACAACATATCACTTTACACTCCGTCGTGAGACTTGTCCTAGCACATACTTATACAATGAATCTCTTTCCTATTGCACCAGTGGTTTGACCAGTCTTGGTGAGGTTTGTTTCATAATAAGTTTACTGTGTTTAGCGCCGCTAGAGTTTATCCACTTATCCTTTTGTTTTATTTGGATCCATTTTGTGATAGAGGATTCTGTATATGTTTTTGTCATCGAAGTACAGATTCGGTGCCGATGTGCGGCCTTACAGATATTCCTCTGGTAAGCGTGTCTGCTTTTTCGTTACCCCAAATTCCTTTTTGCCCTGGCAACCAAGATATCATCTGGTTGTTGTGTTCCCCAGGTTTTGGAGATTGTAGATGCTTTCCGACTAGTTTTGATGTGATGCTTTTACATGCTAATGCTTTAATAGCTGCTTGGCTATCAGATCTTATGAGGATTTTTTGCCAGTGTTACCTGTAACCGCTTATAATCTATACGAAGTGGGGCGCTTATGGGCAGACAAACAGTTGAGGTCATTGCCGGCCGTCCGGTTGTTTTCATCCGCTTTCTCTTCTATCGAGCCCGGTTTGTTTTAAACTGCAGCCTTTTGAGCATCTCGACCTGGTTACAGACTCTATGCTTTTAAATGTATACTATGTCGATATCCTAAAATCCTTCTTGTTTTGCTTCAGGTTGTCAAATACAGGATAGAAACAAAACATACAATACATATATATATCACCACGAACATAGATGTCTGGTCAAATTTACTCCCCAATAGTACTCGATATTCCTCAGAGAGCGGTTAAACAACCCCTTCCTTTCACTCTGATATATTATATTCAATCCAATAAATTAACGTTTAGTAGTTTTAACACACACGTTATAATACATATATGTTATCTCTGTAGCTGGAGTTATCCGAACAGCTATCGTTGAGCGCTGCCCTGCCCCGCTACTAGTACAGGTCAAATATGGTATGCTTTCCCGTATACTAGGTCGTCCTGAAAAGAACAATGAGGATCTTTATCGCCCACACCAAGTCTATTGGATTTTATCGGGCGTTTTGATTCTCAAGATGAGAGCTGACGCACCTCCGCATACGACAGAAGTGTGTTACTGACGCAGCGTTGGTGTAGAGGCAGCTCAGGCCCGAGGGACCAAGACAACCTCGCTCCTCGCTTGCCCATTCCAAGTGGTCGGGTCCGCATTAAGTATCGAACCGTATGCCGCGCACAAGGGGCTACCTAAGCCGAAATACATCAGCCTGGTCTCCCGCGCTCTCCCTAGATAGAGAAGGCCACTATTTCCCAGAGAATTGGGGCTTCTTTAGCGTAGAAACTACCGGATCCGCTCCGGCCGCGGTTTCGTTTAAAGTGGAATTGCTAACCATCCTCTAGAGGAGATAGTCTACGGTAAAAGCCTCCAATCGAGCTCAGCCTACACCTTCGTGCAAAGCATACTCGAGTAGGAGCAACCAATTGACTACTCGATCCCATCCGCCACTACTCACGCATTCGAGGGACTTAGCAGCATATTCATAGCGTCCTCAACGCTTATACGCAGCCGTCCGATGCGCCGTAACCCGTGGGGCCGGGTGTATAACGGTGATCAAACGCAAGTTTCGTGCGAAGGTCACACGAAGGTGACAGATAGAAGACAGCCTCTTCTCTAAGTTCCCGTCAGGGGCGTCACTACGAACCACTACGACTCCATTCCCAATGTAACAGGGGCTGAACCTTCGAACATTTCTGTTACCCCATTGTACAGATGGTTATGCACCCTCCCCCGTCTATGCAGACAGGATCTGGTACCCTAACCCTGGTGTGCCTTTGAGAGGTTGCCACGCCCTCAGCGCTGCACCATTATTTTGCCCCCGGACACTCCCCTTGTAACCAATGGTTGGGAGGGGTCACAGGGAAGAATGAAGGAACCTGGAGTGAGAGAGGTAGGTGAATGAGGACACGAGGTACACCTTTCTTGGGCCCCGAGCCTTAACCACTTTGTACCACCCGTATGAATGATGTGCTAAAATATCGGCTACATGTATCAAGCTTTCCGCAATTAAAAAAGTGCTCTACCGTTATTTGCCCTTGCATTACGGGCACCAACGCGGTACTTTTTTGGCCGGAAAATGCCCATGCGTTATTCTTATAATCGTATAATGAAAAATCGATAAAGAAAGGTTGCTTATAACGCTATGACATAATTAATACGTAGTTAAAACAACAATAATTCACTAAAATTAAAAATTTCGCCTAAATCCTCTGAAACGAACGAAACGAAATTTTTGTATCCACTCGAATAGGGATAAAATAAAAATCTTTGATTGATGGGATTTTACTTTTAAAGCGTTAAAAGCCTCCCAAATGGTTTTCCACGGGTCGGGCAAATCCGTTTCACATTTGGTTTCATTTTTATTGATCGATTTCTAAAAAGCTTCGCTGATGTTATATTTGTAAGTATTTACGCAAATAATGCTACGTTTGGCACAGAGATTATTAATTTATTGATTCATCGAAGCATTTGATCGCTGGTATGCATTGTAATTATAGCAGGAAATTGAAAATTAACTACCATTATATTACATAATGAATAGTTCCATGTGTAATATATCGTTGTATAAACAAACATGAATGGAATATTCTTGCACAATAATTAAATATTCTTTTTATCTAAGGTTTTTGGTTGAGATGAAAAATAAAAAGAATAATTAATTATAAAATATAATACGGTCAATTATGACCACTAAGCAAGTATGGAAGGATAAGTAATATTATATTAATTTGAATTATATTTATTCAATCGATTTATAATAAATTTTCAATTTTTTTTCGTCCTTTCTAAATCGAGGTTTTATTTCTATCTTAGTTCAATAGAAATCAAATCGACGTTGATTTTCATGATGTAATTGTGCTAGTTGGCTCGGATCCACAAGAGATCAAGGGTGAAATGCGAACCATCCCCTCTAAAACTTTATTTGTCGAGATTAGATGTATATAATGAAAGAACAACGGTTCGTACAGCCCTTATCATTCTCTCTTATCCTCTTTTGGAATCGTGTCAAAACACATCAAACCTTTGTTCTAATTAGGGGAGGTAAAACTTTGATTTATAAGGAAAAAAACGAAAAATGCCTGCTGTGTTCAGTTTTCAATTTATGTTTCAACGTGTTATTTTTTCGAGTGGGCTTTATACATTAATTATAAAATCAATATCTAGGTGACGTGTCTGTGCGACTAATTATAAGTAAACTTCGGGTCCTTTCGACCTAAATTCTCAATGACCCCAGGGTATTGAATAAATAAACAGTGTCTCGCTCCTCTTCTGCTCTCTGCTGCATTTGTTATGAAAGAAAAATACCACCATGTCTTCTCCTTTGCTCTGATGTAGGACGTTGCTGTAGGAAGTGTATTTATGAAGCGAGTTATGAAGAACGTGAAATTTCTCGTGAAATAATAGCGCACTCTGCAATTTACTTTGACCCAAGCGAAAAGGCCATAAGGAAAACTGACAGGGCAATAAAAAAATTAACTGGAAAACTATGAAAATTTACATCGGCCATTTTATCATGCATTTATTATGACAAGATGCAAATCCCGCATAAAATAACTGTTTGAATGATTTATTAATGTATTTTTTAAAGAGAAATCCAACCTATATAGATTATTCTTTGTTCTCTCCCTCTCTCTCTTTTTTCNCCCGATATATATATGTCTTTTTCTCTCTCTTCCTCACTCTCTCGCTCTCTCTCACTCTCACACTCTCTCTCTCTCTATCTCTCTCTTTTTCTTTCTCTTTCTCTCTCTTTCTCCTCCTAATATTTAAATCAGCGTATATTATAAATAAAGTGTTTCAATTCAATTTTCCCCTTATACATATATTTCTTATTTTACTACCGAACTCTCTTTTGCATTTGGGTTCTTTTATATTATCTCAGAAAAACTATCATTTTGTTCTATTCTTTCCCTAACTTTTAAATATATTCTCGTCTACTTTTGCTACTTTCTGTTTTTCTATATCTGTTCTGCATTCATTTAATGCTATCTGTCTCCTCTCGCTTTGTTTTCTGACTTTTATCTCTGTCTCTTTTTTTTCTATTCTAATATAAGATTTTTTATTTTTATTTATTTTATTAATATTTATTTACATTTTAGTCTGTCTGTCTCTCGTTCGGGCATATTCTTTCTTTATTCTCCCTTTTTGTTCTTTTGTCTAACGCATTTCACTATCTCTTTTTATATCTTTCTTACCATTTCACTACAGATCTCACTATTCGAATCGCGTCCGTCTATTTGTCTCACTATCACTACAATTTTGCTTTACTTTTTTATCTAATTTTTTCACTTGCTCGATTCTATTTCTGCCATTTTCCACTTTTTCTCTATCGGCTTTCTCTCTCTCTTTCTCTCTCTCTCTCTCTCACTCTCTCTCTCTCTCTCTCTCTCTCTCCTCTTACGTCTTACTCTCCTACTACTGTTCTGGAAACCTTTTCTGTTTCACGATATTTTTCTCTCATCCATTATTTAATTTATCTGTCGATCTTCTTCTTACCAATATTCAAAAATGTTACTCAAACTATCGACAATTTGTTAACGTACTGTCAGTAATATGACCAAACTAAAAAAATTAGGAAAATAATTTTATTTCTAAATTAAATTGTTTAAATAACAAAAACTTTAACAATCAAAATAAAAGTTACACTTATATTCATTCTTGACCCCTTAATAGCAGTTAAATATTTTACATGATTACGGTTTAACTTAGCAAAAATGAATCATATCACTCATGATTTACAGAAATATAGAATAATATAAAATTAACATATTTATTTTAAATATATTTAAGTGTGTGGTGATAAATTAGCTTTATGACTGGTAAAAAAGTAAATATTTTGGATCAATCGTGAAAAATCTCTTAGGTTTATGTGCTTCCGATTAAAATTGCCGTGACCTTAAAAACATAAAAATTTCTCATGCGTATAATCCTTTAGCAAATTAAATATAAGTACGATAGCTTTGTTAGACAAGTTGCAAAACGGATGGGGCATAACTTTCTCCGGCTACAATCAATTGCGGTATGATGTAAAGTTGACGCGTCATCCATCATAAGCGGAACGGAGGGCCGGGAATGCAAAAAGGTCTCGCCTTACGGACTCCCGTGGGACAACTTGTTGATCGGTAATGGCAAAATGGAACTGTATGTCGGAAAGAATGCAATCCGATGACATCACGACCTTGTATGTGCATTTTTTTAAATAGTAATACGAATTTACATGTATTTTTATTGCTCTATTTTTTCTACAGTATAGTGAAGTAAATTTTATATGCAATGTTTAAACAACTCAGCGTATCGAGGTTTTCACTCGAAATTATATAATTTATTATTTCAATTAGGAGTTGTTTCTACTTTATATGGGAATATGTACTACAGTGTAGGTTTTTTAATTTTTCAGGTCGAACTCGAAGGTTTGACAGGAGAAATCCGGTTCAGCGAAGACGGCCGTCGTCAAAATTACACACTGCACGTCGTCGAAATGACCGTCAACAGCGCCATGGTCAAGGTGAGCCGATAGATTTTTTCCTAAAACATTTACAAAAAAGTGTAGACGTCTTTTGTTCGCTTTGGGCCTATCCATAATATTTTAATGTTCCACGTTTATGGCTCAACTGGCGGATGATGGCTGCCCCTTCAACTTTCACCAGTATTGGAAGTGCTCTGAAAGGAGAGGCTTAAATATTTATGGGACCAATTCGCTGATACACCCTTTCTGGATAAATATAGTCTTTTAATATTGAATACCTGAGGAACGCTCTTTACCCTTGGCTTTTGAAACGCCAGCACACATTTTGTTTTAAATTTTCCATCCAATCAACCCAATTGAAAAAATCAATAACAAATTCTGAAACAAACTTCCACAGAATGAATTTTCACATTGAATTCACTCGTCATTATTGACAATAAATAATTATTCAGAAATCGTGAGATGCGGGTTGTGTGATGTAGGTTTCAGAAAAACATTTTCTTCATCGTGCCTACGTTTCGATCTTTATTGAGATCATCTTCAGAGCCTGGGTCTTACAAATACACACATTGTTTACATATAACAAATACATTTAGGATGTGGAAAAGTGAATTTATACAGTGCAAAATTCACTTTTCCACATCCTAAATGTATTTGTTAAACGTAAACAAGGTTTGTAAATCCCAGGCCCTGAAGATGATCTCAATAAAGATGGAAACGTTGGCACGATAAAGAAAATGTTTTTCTGAAACCTACATCACACCAGACCGCATCTCATGATTTCTGAATAATTATCGATTAACGGTCACTAATCACCACACATTGACAATAAATCAAATTTATTAGGATAATGTCAAAGATATAATATGTATGTATATACAATATAGCAATTTTTAACAGAAAATATAAACTCCAATTAATTAAGGTTTTTACGATAGTTGAGATAAAAAAGTCAGTATCACGACCGGGATTTGAACCACGACCTTCGGCTAGATACGCCGCTACTCTACCACTTGAGCTATCGTGATTTTTCGCCGAGAATCAAATAGATTACACGACATTTGAAAAATCGCGAAAAGGAGGGAAAATTAAAAAGGTGTGGTTGAGGTGGGAAGTTAGTTTATTATTTTGTATGGAATATTATCTAATATCTTTAAGTTGGTAATAATTTTAACTTGTAGAAACCAATACGATTAATTATGTGTGAATCTAGAACAAATACGTTGACAAATCTTTATTTTTTGAGGTTTAAAAGTTTAACTATTGCATTCACTAGGAAAATTCAAAAGGTGGGGTTGAGATGGGAAGTTAGTGTCCGAGAGGATCGAAGTCACGATAGCTCTAGTGGTGGAGTGGTGGAATAGGGGCGTATCTATCAGAAGGTCGTAGGTTCGAATCCCGCTCTTGACACTGACTTTTTTATCTCAATTAAAAACCTCAATTCATTGAAATATATTAATTGGTCAAGGGTACCACGGAACTAGTGAATTTAATAAACTCCAATGTTACTTGCATCTATTTGTAATTACAATAGAAACTTTAATTTTTTACATATTTTACCTAATAGCCTACAAAACATTACGAACTTTAATTATTGAACTCTTGACCTCTGACTAATTGTAATGAAATAGGGAGGGGCTGATGGCGAAGTAACTTCTCCATCGCCTCTCCGGTTGTGTCTATGACGGATATTTTACGGCCGATGGCGGAAATTTTATAAAAATTTAGATTAGTTTAGTATAGGGATCGAGTACTCCATCCACCAAACAGTATGAGTGCGATCAATGTAGTCAAGGTATGAATTTATTGGTATGATTGTGTGTCAAGTGTATAGCGGTATTTTGCTAATGTTTCGGGGCAGAAATGACCAAGTTGTTGGAGGACCCTCTTAAAAAAACTTGTAATGAAAATACGAAAGAGGCCGCCGGAAAGCACTTCCCATCATGTTCGATCAGCTGATTTTCGCCTAATAGTTCCAATATTGTAAAAGGAGAACGGAGAAACCGCTAGGTTTGAAAAACATAAATAATCCTACGAAACTATGGCTGGTTAAGAAAGACTTAAGTCCATGTTTCACGGAGAGCGGGTGGAAAACTGTACTGTACTGACAAGGTTACGCATAAGTCATACAGGAATTACTCACGGGCAACTTCTGACAGAAAAAGGACCGCGTAGGTGCCGGTTATGGCAAGGAAAAATAACTGTCGATCACATTTTATAATTGCAGAAGGCTTGACCTGTGCGTAGTCGTGAGGCAAGGCAGCGGGCAGATCGCTGTTCGGGGTATAAGGCGTTCTAAACGAATTTAGTGTTAGTGTGTGTACGTATTGTGTCTGTGTAGTACTAATCTATTGGGGTGAATAATTTATTAGCGTGAGAGAACGGGGTTGTTAATCCCGCATCGAGAAATATCGAGTAATCTGGATCTAGGGAGTAAAGTAGCTTAGGTAAGAATGGAGTGGGTCCAACCTCACTCCGAGAAATAATGAGCCGAGTTTTTCCGTGATGGGGTGTGACGTTTTGGTGATTCCTGGGTAGGACGCCTGGGTACTCAAAGACCAGGTGTCTTCCATGGTATCGCAAGGACGAATATTATATAACCCCGGATTTTGGTGCCGGGGTTGTCTTCGGCTATGCTCGTCCAGTGGGTGATGCGCAGATATGTCGGTAAAAAAATTTTGTTTTTGTTTTTTTTAGTTGCCAACCTGTGGTATAAAAAGCAGAGAGTCTGTAACCAGATCAAGCAATTGGCTGAGCACGGCAAAATACGCTTCACAGACCTAAAAAAAAGGAAAATGCGCACAGTGCTGGCGATGACCTCAGCGTCTTATGTGCCGATAAACTCCCACAGTGAAAATATGCAAAGTTCACTAGTTTTCGTAGTTCGCTTGACCAATTAATATCTTTCAAATAATTTAGGTTTTTAGTTGAGATAAAGTTCGAGTGGATCCAAGTCACGATAGCTCATGTGGGAGAGTAGAGTGCGGTATCTAGCCGAAGGTCCGAATCCCGCTCGTTACGCTGACTTTTTTATCTCAACTAAAAACATTAATTAATTGAAAGATATTGCTAAATTTTAAAAATGAGTTGTCGAACTATAGAGGTATATCTTGTCTAGATGTAGTATCAACAATATATTTCAGTTTAATTCCTAATGGAATAGAGACATTTCTTAATGAAAAGAATCTAATAAGTGAGTGTCAAATCGGATTTCGAAAGAACTATTCTTCGTCTTCATCATTCTTCATCAATGTTTTAAATATTAAATTCAATCAGCTTAAGGATCGATTGTTTCTCTGTAGAACTAAAACCTGCATTTTATTTAGTGGACCGGAATGGAGAACTCTTCAAATTGAGTAAATGGGGTTTTTCCAGTAAACTTCTTTGTATCCTTTGTTTTCATTTTCCGGTTATTTATTCTTGGGTACGAGGTCAAAAAGGTTCAATTTGAATTTACACGGCGGTCAGCTTAGACCAATGTTGACCAATTTTCTCTCTTTTTGGATGACCTGTCCTCCGTCTTAGAAAGTAATATAAGTATCCGACGCTTAAAATCAAAATTTTTATTTTCGCGGACGATATAATAATATTGGCAGATAGTGTATAAGGTCTACAGAAAACACAAATATTCTGGAACTGTGAAAAGCGGAAACTTACCGTCAATCTTTAAAAATAAGGTAAAACTTCTTTAGAAAAAAAATTTTAAGGAAAAAGGAAAGAGATTGTAACTGAATATAAGTATCTGGGTATATTAACCCCTCTTTTATCCTTGTTCTCAGACATTAAAGCAAAAGCTTCCATTGCTAAAAAATTTTTAAACAAAATCTGATCACACCTGATTTAACAAAATGTAATCCCCCTTAAAACTATGGTTTCCATTTTTAAAGCGGTATGTAAGGATTTATCGTTTTACTGGGGTCAGACTTGGAGCTTTCAATGTTTCCCTGCTGGAGAATCCCTTGTCATTTCACTATTTTGGATATGTAATGAAATCAATGGAAGCTCATGAAGGAAAATTTTCTAGGATTACAGCGGTTGAGGAAATTAATCGCAAAGTCTTTTGATGCGCTTTTCCGGAAGCAAAAGTAGTATCGCTGAATTTAGATATCATGTAACCTTGTAGAACTCATTTACTTTTTCTGTTAAACAAAATCAATGCCTAACATCGGGTGGATTATTTAGAAAATACCCGGTCTATTGAACACGTTAAAATTTACAAAGGACTTAAACAGGATTCGGCAACTGTTGACTTACAGAAATACAATTATAAAGATCTAACCTGAGAGAATTCCGATGGTTTTTAAAATCAGCTGCGGTCCTATATTTGAAGTCAGCATAATGGATCGCGACGGAGACTCAGGGAAGTGTAATATTTGCAATTCGCGTGATGTTGCGAACATATTTCGCTTCGTGGCCCAGTGTTCAATATCGAATGAGATACGCTTTTAATATTTTGGTGCGGTTGTGTTGGAAAAAGAAAAATTCCTTCAAATATTGAATTGATTAGATACTCATATCCTGGAGCGGTATGCCTGGCATGCTTGGAAAAACCGGTCATGTGTTAAATTTCACATCAATTTTAGTTTCATATTGATGTACATGTTTCCTATTTTACTTGAGTTGCCCTTGTATTTTTAGTTAGTATACGAGCAATTTCATTTTAATTTGTATACAATTAATTAAGGTTTTTAGTTGAGATGAAAAAGACAGTGTCATCAGCGTGATTCGAACCCACGATCTTCGGCTAGATACGCTGCTGCTCTACCACTTGACCTATCGTGATTTCGATCCACTCGGGCACTAATTTCCCATCTCAACCGCACCTTTTTGAAATTTTCCTTCTTTTTGCCATTTTTCCCCGGTACTTTATAAGTATATTTAACTTAGCAGAAAGCGGTGAAAATTTAATATATTAAGTAGTGAAATAAGTTCGTTTTTAGCAATTCTATTTTATTCTTCTTGTGGTTCTAAGCAATTTATCTATTATTGTTTCCATTCTGTAAAAAGTGATCAGCTAATTTTTTTTTCCATTCGAGTTC